CTGGAATCCACCCCCCCCCTTCCCCCCATTTACATTAATTCTTATGGGGAAACTGGATTCGCTGAACATTGTTTTGCTTAAAGTTGCATTTTTCAGGAACATAACTACAACGTTAAGTGAGGAGTTGCTGTACATGTGCAACATTGGAGGCCAGCTATGTGGCATCTCTTAAGGCAGCAGCCTTTTTAGGGCACATCAGAAACAGGGTAGGGTAAGAGCAGGTTGACTGACCACTGCACAGACTTTCAAGTCTTTGGTGCCTCCAGAAGAGGGGCATGAGGACTGCAGAGGCTACCCCCAGCTATTAAGCTGGAGTAGTAGCCACTTTTCAGCTCCTTTCCCTCTCATGGGCTGGAGGAAGGATTCCTCCCTACTTTCCGATCAGAGTTCTCTTGTGCTCAGCTGGGCATAGGGTTGAAGATTATATTATGTGACCTTTATTCAGAACATTACTCTGAGCAAAACTAAGTGCAGTTTTCTTTTAAGTATCTGGAAGACTTATGTGCTTTCCTGTTTCCATACTAGCCTTCCCACCAAAGCCAGAGCTCATATTTATTAGTACTGCATGCTTCCATTTTAAAAGATGTTGTAATGGTAATACTTAATGACTTTGTTATTCAACACCTTTTTACTAGAGGGCAGCACACCCTCACAGTATAGTCACTGATAATCTATTAGACTTTCTTGATTATATCAGTTTTTATATATGGTGTACTAACATCCACAAGTTAGTTAATTTGTATAAACCAGTTCTGAGAATTTTTAAGACAGGAGTGTCTTGCCTCAGGATTATTAATCAGCCAAAACCAATTTGTGCTTTCAACCTTAATAAGATTGCTTAGAGAGGTGGTGTCTGGAGTTCCTAGAAAACCAATCTGCATTAGTCTCTCTCGCTTGCTCATGAAGAGCTCTGTCTCTCTCAACTCAGCCACAGTTCAGAACTGAGTCCTTAGCATTTATGAAGCAACCCCAAAGGCTCCATATCATGAGTAAGACCTCAACATCATGAAATTGGGTGAAAATTAATGAGATGAAAATTAATAATACGTTTTAGGTTCTTTTTATTTGTCTTCTGGTTTGTGAGCCTTTAGGAAACACTGGGGACATATTTCCACGGTGTTCTCAGTAATCAGGATGGCTAGAAATTTGTTTTTGTTTATGAAAGCTGGAATTCTCATGTAGACATGTGACTCTAGGATCTGCAGTTTTAAGAAAAACACCAATTATTTCAAGATTCATGATAAAAATCATGAGAGTTGGCAAAATCAACTAAAAAGCCCTTTATTTATTTAAAATATTTTTTGTAGTAGGTTGAGGGTATATTCCCAGAGATGGCAGGTGGAAAGGAGGCTGTTTGTAGCTGATTCACAGTCTGGCTGAATTGA